TCACCATTTCATCAAACTCCAACTCGTCATCTTCTTCTTCTTCATCAACTGCATCTACCTCAGCTTGTTCATTCTCCAAAGGATCAACCACTTGTGTCACCTAAGGCTCTCGCAGCATAATGTACAACTCAATAGAGTCGTATCCAGAATACACATAGCTGGAAAACATATTCTGGAGATCCTCGTCATCTTGAACTTCAACCTTATAAAAAATTATTTGGTTGTTTCCATAAAAAACTGGATTCTGATAAAATATCTGTGACACCGGGCCTCGTCCAAGTTTGGCCTCCAATCGTTTTTTGAAGTACGAGAAATTGGCTTTCCCGTTTAAGAGAAATCTGATGTTGTCTGTGTCTCTAAACAAAAACCCAGCGGTGGGACAAATGTATGTCTCACCGTTGAAATGTGCTTTGACAACATATTATGGTGCAGAGGCTATCGCGTAGGGTTGTTTGAAGGTTTGAAGGTTGGAATGTTTGAAGTTTATGAGTTATTCGAAGGTTGGAATGTTTGAAGTTTATTGAGTGTATGAAGGTTTGAAGGTTGTAAGGTTTGAAGGTTGTAATGTTTAAATTTTATGAGTTATTCGAAGGTTTGTATGTTTGATTGTTTGAAGGTTTGATTGTATGAACGTTTGAAGGTTGGAAGGTTTGATAGATTAAGTGAAACAATGTTATGATAAACGTAAGACTAAAAATCTCATACTGAATTTCAATTAAGTAAGGATGTAACCCCCAAGGCTGCCAATAGTGTTACATGCATGGCATCCCAAAGGTTGTCACGTAGCCTGAGCCTAGTCTGCAACCAATGACACCTCTTATTCACCAATTGGGATGGCGACACCTTTCATTTTTGTACTCTTTCACCAAGTCCAATGGCGCCTCCCTTAATGTCCAATCGTGTTACATACATGCATATATGTAACCCCCTAGGCTGCCACTTAGCCTGCGCCTACTCTGCACCTACACTGTATCTTGTAAGTCTCCTCCCATCACCTCCAATAGTGTTACATGCACTCAAGCATGGCATCCCAAAGGTTGTCACGTAGCCTGAGCCTAGTCTGCAACCAATGACACCTCTTATTCGCCAATTGGGATGGCGACACCTCTTATATCATTTATTACTATTCATCTCTTCACCAAATATATGCTAAAAATAAAATGTTTTTCATTTCCTATAGGTATTTCTTGAGGGGTATGGATTACGGCAAGAATCCAAGATTCAATGTCGCACTATACCGTAATCTATTGGATCACTTAGGCCCGGATGATGTACGTCGTACCTTTAAACTTTTCTTCATTTAAATTATTTATATATTACGTTTTTGTTAACCTGATTTAAATTTTTTCGCAGTTCGTCTGGAGACCATATTTGGGTTTGGGCCATGAACCAAACCCCGAGGATGCAGCAATTTGGACCGCGAAGACTGCAATCATTCGGTTCAACGTTGTGGAGATGCACCACAGCGACCGTGTGAAGATGCAGTTCGGAATGCATCAAGAGATACCAAGTGATCCAACTTGTTTGTCCCCATGGCATCTCAAAAGGGTCGACGCCCAGTGGGGTCTTACCAACTGGAAAGACTTTGCTCCGGAATGGTGTAAGATGTGGCAGAGGCGTCACCGATATGTCTTGCAATTCCTGGTTTTCCTTAATCATGGTAATATGCGACACACGGATCAATATTTATCTTGGTACAAGTCGGTTAATAACCCTGAGATGCACGTGTCTCATCCAAGGTACTTGGTTGACCCACGCACACAATGGGCACAACCCTCATTTCCCCAACAACAAACCCAAAACACATCAACCTCCCACCAACCCCCCAGAAGAAACAGAACCACAAACACCCAACCACAGTCCCCACCACAACACAATTACACTCAAATGCCCCACAACCAACCACAATCACCACCTCAGTACCAATACCCCCATATGCCTCACACCCAACCACAATACCAATCACAATACCAACACACCCGCATACCCCACACACAATTTCAGTCTTCTGTATATCCTAATATGGGCCCCTCAACATCCAGCCTTAGCCCTGATTTGAGAATGTCGGAAGATTACGAACAAACCGACCCAGCCTACCATCAACCACAATATCACCATACCACCCAACATCCTCAATACCAAACACCCCAAGATCCATTTCCTTTCTACTCACCGTACTCAGACGAACAATGCTACAGACCACCATGGAACCCGACCCACCGCCAACACGACCAAACTTTGAGGGTATGGGTAACTGACTGTACCAAAGCGGATCTTCTAGATATGGAGATCTGACTGATTTTATGGATCCAGAACGCATTGACTTCGCTGGGCCATCGACCCTGCCATAGCAGGAAACGCGACGACAACCAGTACGGGAAAGGAGAGGACGGGGATGCGGAACCAGGGGTCATTACCGGGTTCCGGGGGATCACTGATTTATCTGTTTTTTTTTCTTTTTTTTTATCTGTTTTTTTAATGTAATACCTTTGGATGTAATTTTTTTTTAATAAAAAGTCAATTTTGTTGATCTTGTATCCAATACGCAACGCACCAGACCGAAAAAAAAGAAGCAAAATTTGCCCTAGAATTACACATAGGCGCCATCTCACTTGGCTTAGGGCATGCCCTAAGCACATAGGTGCCAAGTGAGATGGTGCCTCCCCTTAAATAATGGGTGTAGGCGTCAAGTGAGATGGCTCCTCCTTTGAGGAGTCATCTGAAACATGGTTATTTGCGTAATTTTTTCTGAAACGCAGTTATTTGCGGAAAAAAATTTTAATACTTGGTTATTCAAAAAACAAATTCTTTAGTTTTGGAATACCAACAATATTAAACCATGGAATATTTTTAGATATATTTAAAAATACTTTTAACTAAGTAAGTTTGATTTGACTTACTAAATAAAAAAAGAATATAATAATTTTCTTTTAAATAGTTATATGATAGTTATATAATTATTAAGATAAATAAATACAAAGTATAGAAATATCTAATCTAAACCATTGAAACAAAATTTATTTTGATAAAGATATTTTTAAGATAAAATATGTACAAAATATAGAAAATTAAGATATAATTTCAAAAATCTAAATTTATATAATCACAGAAATATATTAACTATTTAAATGACATTTAAATCATTATAATATTATTAATATTTTCAATCTAACACGTAGAAGTGTGTAATGCAAATGAAGCTTGAGAATTGAATCATTATAATAAACGGTTAAATATTTTTTTGTCTCTGAAATGTATCATATTTAATTTTTAGAGTTTTCAAAATTTTTCTTTATAAAATGATACTTTTAAAATTTTTAATTTTAACTTTTGGTCCCTTTTATAATTTAGCGACGATTTTTACTATTTAACAGTAAAATTAGCGACGATTTTAAAGGCGAATTTTTATTTAACAACTGAATAAACGACAGTTTTAACAACAATTTTGACATGAAGGACCAAAATTTAAAATTAAATTCTAATTAAAAAAATAACCTAAATTTTTTTGTAGCATTAACAGAAATAAATCATTTACTACCATATACATCTGAACCATTAGATATTCTACTAATGTAATTATATTGCGCTGCTACCTCTAAATATGAATACTTCAAAGGCTTATTCTTTAGCAACGATTATGTTCAACTCCTATTAAATTGAAATATTTCAAACACATTGTTACAATGCAAGATTTTGGAGTGTTACCTTAAACAACATATATGATCAAATTTTGGACATAAGAAAACTATAAAATTATTAGTTTTATAATTTATATATTAAAATTCAAATAAAGATAAATCAAAAACCATGCATACATCGTTGAAGAAGAGTAATTTATATATTAGAATCATCAAACTATTTTCTATCACATAACTCATTTTAAAAGAGTAATTTAAAAATATTTTAATTCAAATTAATTAGAAAAATTGACCAATAAATATTATTAATTGTTATTGAAATAATTAATTATATAATACTGGTTTTTTAATATTAGGAAACCAATAAATTTCGATGTTTATGAGTTTTTATTTTATTTGTTTGCAAATAAAATCCAAATCTCTTATAAAAATTGACCAACTAAAAATCTTATTTGTTATTAACAATACATAATCACAATATATTTATTTTATTCAAATATTTAAATTTATTATGAATATTAACCAATTAACAAGGTGATTTTATATAAAATATATAATTTAATTGGTTTGTGTAATTTTTAGGATTCTAAATAAATACTAGTCACTAAATATTTTTTAGGGACAAATAAGATATATTATACATAAAATAAAGGAGAAGAACATGATTTTATAACTATTATTAATTATTTATATATATGATATTTTTGTTAATAGTTATAGCTAAATATTATTTTATTATTATTATTATTATTATTAATATTATTATTATTATTAATGTTATTATTATTATTATTAATATTATTATTATAGCTTAATATTATATTATTATTACTTACGTGTTTTGAATCAAAGACAATGAATTAATTCAAAAAAACAAGCTATACAAGACGATCACACTAATCCAACTAAAAGTACTATTATTATTATTTATTAATTTAGAGTAAATTTAATAAAACTTATTATTAGCTAAATATTATATTATTATATATTATTATTATTAATAATAGTCGGTAAATTTTATATTATAATTATTATTTATTGCTATCATAATGATAAGTAGGTGAGGTTGCATGGTTGTCATCGTGACAATGTGAGAATGTAAGAATCAATAACAACTATGGGATTTAAAAGAATAGTTGAGATTAAACCATGTCTTTCACTAAATTATATAAAAGAATTGTTTACAAATTTATTTTAATTCAATGATTCACATATATATAACAAAAACTAAAGAATAAAAATTCAACATTTTGAATAAGGTAAATATTGAAAAAGATATAAAATGAAAATTCGACTTTATATATAATGAGCATATGTTAGTTTAAACATCAACAGCACTCTCACAAAGTAAAATTCTATGCAATGGCTTCTTATATCAATCAATATCGACTTTGGGGAATTTTAGGCGTTGTATTTATTTTGCTCTCAGGTTATATCAACAAGTTATTCTTATATCATCTATTTTTTTTTTTTTTCCATTAATTAACTATGAACAAGTTGAGGTGTGTAAGCTTCCTCAACATAATTTTAAAGTCGTAATTTGAAATCATAATCCTTAATAAATTTTATCTTTATTTTGGTTGCAGGATTTATAACTAGCTTAGATGCCATGATTCCACAACCAATATATAAGTGCGTCGGCAACGGGACTTGCACAAACAATATAGATTGCACAAACACATGCTCTTTTTTCGGATATAAGAAAGGTGGTATGTGTTATGGAAAACAATCTAGGATGTGTTGTTGTATTACGTAGTGAATAAAACACATATATGATGTGTTATTGTACTCTTAAATACATATGAATGAATAAAATGCATATATGCAATACTTTTGCAACGTTAATGCTGAAAGTTAATGAAATAGCTGTTCATCACTTGTTTTTTTTAATAAATGCAAACAAAATCATTAAAAATACGCTTCTTGTACATATGTGTATGTAACAAAATTTGCATTTGATCTTCGTCGATATTCAAAAGAAACATGGCGCAGAAATTACTGAATTTTCCAATAGTTTTATATTTGTAGATTAAAATGAAAATAATCAAAATAAAAATTTTGATAAAATAATAAAATAATAAATTTTTGATAAAATAATAAAATAATATATATGAGAATGTGAGAATGAATAACAACAATCAGATTTAAAAAGAAAAGTTGAGATTAAACCATATCTTTCACTAAATCATGAGGCAAAAATACTAAAATTTTGCATCAATGGAGGATTGAGCCAATGACCACTTAGTTCATGGGCAACTTGCTCTACTACTAAACCAATGTATTTTTTTTTATGTTTATAAATATATTTTCTTATTATTTTTTTATTATTAGCAATAATTAATATATTTTGATGCCTAACAAAAAAAAGACATTATTTAATACGTTACAAAATTTAATCGAAATATGTTAGTATCATATGTTCAATCATATATTATAGTACCATTACATTGAAATCAGAGAGCCAAAAATTGTACATTATCATCAAATACATTTTACATGTACCATAAAAATCCAAATCTTATAGTATCATCAAAATTCCAAAATATCGTACCAAAAATATAACTTCAAAATCTAAAACATATAATATAACAAAAATAAAACCAACAAAACTAACAAAGCATCCATTGTGAGCCATGACGGAACCCGTCAATGAAGTAACACTTTGCATCACAATGAAAGGTTTGAATGTTAATTATGATCACTATATTCGACCGATCAACAATAATGAATATTGCAAATTTACAGAGCTTCCTCTACCAGAACTACCAATGTTGAAAAGATCTATCGACATACCAAAGAGGCCTAAAAGTAAAAATATAAAATCAGAAGATAGGCCTAGAAGTGGAACCCGCAAGGTTAAAAGAAGATATATGAAATGATTTTCCAAAAGTGTGTTAAAGCCGGTTATTATTAAAAGTTATGCAAAGGACCTCCAAAACTAATATATAAGAATAATAACAAAAAGGTAGCATAGAAAACAACAATTATGGAGAATTTTTCATAAACTCAGCTTCAATCACAAAGTTTCTCGCAAATAATAATTTGTACCATCTTCTTTTGCTTGTACTTTATTTCATTCTACTATCATGTTAATCTTTATGTAACATGAATCACCACGACCAATTGTTATATGGCCTCCTCCTATTAGGACACCAACATTGTTAGACGACGGCACATATCTAGAGGTCGGGTGAATAGAGGCGCAAAAAATTTATTCTAGACGCAAATCTAAAATTTAATTGTTTTCAATTTTTTTTTGATGTAGAAGCAATTAACTGGACAAGTCGTCTAAAAAATAACTTATTGGAAACTTGTGTATACAAATTATAGAAGATGAATCTATGAGACAAAATAGAGTAGTTTATTAATACAACTCAAATCAACAATCCACTTATTTATTGTTTGAACATAATCAATTTGCAATGTTATTTCCAAGGCTAAATAATCAAAGAACTAGCTTGATAGTTTTATCAAACACTTGACGTGCAAGTGAATTTTTAGAATTAATCTTTGAGTAGTGTTGATATACAAAACCACTTTTAATATAAATTGACTATAAGATATATCCGCACCTATTTCAAAAACATATTTTGAGATAAAAATTCTTACAATTCAATTGCTATCACAATTCTATTTGATAAAAAGATTGATGAAATTGAAAGCAAGTAAAAGCGGAAAAATAAAAACACACAAGGAATTTGTCAACACAGTTCCCTAATGTCGTCCTCGCGTGTGGGTACGTATGCGCCTAATTCTAATAGAACTAAGATAACTCTTATTTGCAAAATGTTTAATATAATTGAAGAGTTAGAAACAACAATACAAAATTCTCCAATTTGGTTTTGATGCTCCTTCTTCCAACCTTTAATCTTAAGCAAGATCAAATCAGTCGATAGATGCAACCTATTCGTCGCTTAAGCTACTTATTTATAAGGATTTCAAACACCTCAAGTTTCCTTGTAAATATTTCAACCACTCTAAGAGATTTTTCCCTTGAGTAAATCTGATTGCAAACTATCAACACGAGATCACCGATTCTATCATCCAATTCTTGCTACTTCCTTAAAAAGATTTCAAACACTCTAAGGTTCCTTGAAAAGATTTCAAATTCTCCAAGAGATTTTTTACATTGAGGATTCCTCCAAGGCGACAAGGACTGTGAAATGGACAAATGGATTTGTTCTACTATTCCAGCTCAAGATCCTGTCAATTGGTTTGCCGAAGACGTCGTCACAGTCACTCGCTATGAAGAGTAATTTTCTTTTATTTTTATCATGCAATAAATCCTACGTTCTTCCCAAGAGGTAGTGATAATTCTGTAGGGCCACAATATTTTTCTTTTCAAAATTATCATCAATAAAGGTCGTCTTTTTGCATTCAAATATTTCTCTCGTTGTCTTTCTCTTAATTTTTTCAAAAAAAATGCAATGTGTTTTTATTTTTCTTTTAAAATCTTAAACTAAAATAAAAATAAAATGATCAATCATGCAGATTGAGTCCCCCATTAATCCCGGATTTTGTCGAAAACATCTCTGCTATGGCTCACTATGACTTTGAAAATCCAATTTATCAAATTGATGAAGAAGCTGAAGTAGATTGTGAACTTCCTGAAGAGCTAGCCAAATTGTTGAGGCAAGAGGGAAAGGTCATTCAGCCACACCAAGATACCGTAGAAGTGATCAACTTAGGTACCAAGGAGGTTCGAAAAGAAGTCAAGATTGAGACCATATTAGAAGAAAGTGTGAAGCAAAGGTTAATTGAAATGCTCTGAGAGTATATGGATATCTTTGCTTGATCTTATGAAGATATGCCTTGGCTGGATACATATATTGTTGTGTACAAGCTGCCTCTCTAAGAAGATTGTCATGCGTTCAAACAAAAGTTTCGAAGTACTCATCCTAAGATGTCTAAGAAGATTAAAGAAGAGATTCAAAAACAGTTTGATACAGGGTTCCTGAAGGTTATCTCTTATCTGTCGTGGATTGCAAATATTGTGCTTGTGCTGAAGAAGGATGGAAAGTGAGAATGTGTGTAGATTATATGGACTTGAAAAGAGCAAGCCCTAAACATAATTTTCCGCTCCCTCATATTGATATTATGGATGAAAATATTGCTCAAGCTAGAGTGTTTTCCTTTATGGATGGTTTTTCTGGCTACAATCAGATCAAGATGGCCCTGGAAGATATGAAAAAGACAACTTTTATTCCACCTTGGGGAATATTTTGTTACAAACTGATGCCTTGTGGTTTGAAGAATGCGGGGGCAACGTACTAGCATGCAATGGTAACTATATTTCATGGTATGATACATAAAGAGATTGAAGTATACATTAATGCTACTATTTCAAAATTCCATACAGAAGAGGAACATCTTATCCACTTGCTGAAATTGTTTGAAAGATAAAGGAAATCTAGGCCGAGGCTGAACCCTAACAAGTGCACCTTGGGGTGAGATCAACGAATTATTTTGTTTTATTGTAAGCGAAAGAAGATATGAGGTTGATCCTGCAAAAATAAAAGCAATACAAGAAAGGCCTGAGCCAAGAACAAAAAAATAGGTTCATGGTTTTCTAGGGAGGTTGAACTACATTGCTAGATTCATCTCTCATCTTAAAACCACTTGTGAAACAATATTCAGGCTATTAAGAAAATATCAAACAACCAGGTGGAATGACAATTTCCAAATGACATTTGATAAAATAAAAGAGTATTTGCAGGAACCTCCAATTCTCTCGCCTCTAGTGGAAGGAAGGCCCTTGATAAGTATTGTACCCCAAAATTGGCCCTCTCATTTTACTCACCATATGCTCATTGAAATCCTTAACTTGCTCAAGGATGCCCAAGGGTTGACCAGACAAATCCTCCTCCTAAGACAAGGAGTCTCAAACTAGGGTTTCCATTTTCATCAAGATGTCTGAGCTCCAAGGGTCCCAAATATTTTCCATTGCCCTAATATGCTCTCAAGATCATCCATGCCAAATTCCATGCCTTACACAAGAAGTTTTCTCAGTCAACTACTTAGATGCTTGAAAATCGACTATATTAGGTCAAAAGGCAATTGTGACCCACATACAGTCAAACTTCAAGATTTTTGGTCAAAATCAACATTTTCAAGTGATATACATCATTTGATCAAGGATTGATCATGATTCCTGATCGGGATTATACTTATGTATCCAATGATTCGGACTACAAGTGCACAGTCTTATCGTGTAGTTTTAAAAGATATTGAACCACAGAGACTGATGAATCGATCTACCGTCTTCTATCGTTACTTTGCAAATCTAAAGCTAATGAATATTTGATTGGGTTGTAGGGAAAACTAAATACTAAATTAAGTTGGATTTTTAATAATCAATGAGCATAATTACCAGTATGCAATAGTTGAACCTCGGGAACTAGCAACCTGTTGGGTGTCTTTATATTTTCAAAACAGCTTTCAGTAAAACTTATTTAGTTTAAAAACCCTCATCTCACACTGTCATTTTGTTGATCTAGGCTATGCATTGAAGTCCTAACGTACGCTTCCGCCATCCCGCAGGAGTTAAAAACACTTTTTGAAAACTAAATAAAATCTTAATTAACTTTAAAGTGCTTCCGCTGTATTTTAAGCCAATGCCTAATTACTACTGTCCAGTTAAAAAGATCTCAAACTTCCGCTTTGTTGACCCTAACCTCTATCTGTTTTTTACTTCCGTAACAAAACAATTTAATGATTAAAAATAGTAACTTAGGCCAGAAAAGAAAGTTTTGTAGTAAAAATAATCCCAACTAAGTTACCCGTTCCCTTGGTTGAGTAACTTTACATACCGGTATAGGAATTCTAGCCTAACATAATATCAGACGAAATCACAGAATAATTTAAGAGACATACGAAAATAAACATAATTATATTGATTAAAAGCAATAAAAATTCGTAAATATAAACCTGGTAATAATTCTGAAGATAGAAGCACTCCTGCACAAATTGTAGGCTTTGCTTCGATCGGGGAATATATTTAACCGTACAATGAAAATAATACTGGAAGGAATATAGAAATAACTGGGAAATAAAATAATGCTGAAAGGAATATTTGCTAAAAGTAAATATAAAATCTCCAAAGTTTCTGCCCAAAAAGAAGAACTCATTTCTCGTATGGTCCAAGGCTCTATTTATAAGTCTTGTGTGATCAGTTGTTCTCGAGAATGTAGGAACAATTTTTCTTCCTTTGAGAAATAATAGGGCCATTAATTTGTTACGTTCCCTGGTTCTTTGCCTGAGTGGGTCAGATAATATAGGTAATCGTTGGATTTTCTTTGAATGCGTTTTTTTCCGTTGGATGCGAAGAAAGTGGGGAAAGTGGGGAAAGTGGCCTTGTGACGTTCGTCACGTCCAAGGGACGATAGTCACTTGGTCATTCTCAATGCGTGACGTTCGACATGACTCCTTGACGATCGTCAACGTTTTCTTCATGGTGGGCCACGTGCTCACATGCTTAATGGGCCTGAGCTCATTTCTTCTCCTTTGGCCTTTTTGCTAGTTTTGCACCTCTTTTTCTTCATTTCTTCCAAAGTGTTCAGTTTAATGCATGTCTGCGAAAATAGAAAAATATCTGCATAATACCTATAAAATAATTTAATTTAAACTAAAGTATGAGAAATATTTTGTGTATATCAAGCCAGAAATATCACATATTTGTGTGTCATCAAACTCCCTCATACTTAAACTTTGCTTGTCCTCAAGCAAATGCTAAGCACGATGTTTTTCTAAACATGGTCAGATGCACGGTTATGACTCGGATCAACTAATATATAGTTGCGTTGTGTTTTTGTCAGAAAATCGATGGCTCGCTTCATGCTCCATTACCACGTCAATGACACTAGAGAGTCCCATTTTACGT